ACCTAGTTTCCGTTAAGTTGCTGCTGAGTTTGTTGCTGATCAATTTCTACTTTTCCTCGGCTTTTACTCTCTCGTTCCTCATCTTCTTCATCTCTCTCATCATTTCCACTATGGTTTTTACAATATAGTCTACAAAGATGAAAGATATTGTTATTGTTGATGAGAGCATATCTATGTTATCATTAGCAGATAAGGCTGGTACCCATATAAAATGTTTTTTCTCATTCACATTTAAAAACATCCCCAAACTAATTACAGTTCCGTTTCTATCTAAAACATAGGAAAGCATACTGTTACTGGGATTATAAAAGTTCATCTGGAATAAAACCTCTAGTTAAGGATGGCAGTTATCATAAAGGCAATTCGTCATTTTGCCTAGTAAGATTAAAGCAAGGTTTTGGGCCAACTTAAAACACAAATTTTTGGTGTGATAAAATAATAAAACTAAAAAATTGGGGGGGGTGTTGAGACAGGGTTTTACTATGCAGTTCAGGCTGGCCTCAAACTCAAAGAAATCCTTCTGCCTCAGCCTCCCAAGTACTGAGATTACAGTTGTACACATCAGGCTATAAATCCACTTTATATAATTTATAATCACATAAGAAAAATAGTCTACTATTTTAAGATAGTCTACATATACTACTAGTTGCCATTCAAATTCTGTGAAACAATTTTATTCAAATTCTTCAAATGCCCTTTCATCATTAGTATTCTAGCTTTCTCTAAAATACATTCCTCCATGAATCACCCACATCTTCCCAAATTGCATTCAGCTCTGTGTCTCAATCTAGATTGGTCCCTCTAACTTCTTTTTTGTCTCTTGACACTGACCTGTTTTGGGATGGGACCTGGCTAGATAGCTTTATCAACTGTACCACACTGTGGATTTTCTAGTACTATTTTGTTTCTCTGGTTATTCCAAATAAACTGAGAATAAGACTTAAGGATTTGGTGAGCTCTAGGTCCAACTTGCACATAAGTTCAAACATCCCAATTATTAGTGAACCTATGCTTGATCAATCAGTGGATTTCTACATTGTAAAGGGAGTCTTTGTCCTTTAAAACTACAAAGTGACTCTCAGAGTGGTTCACTGGCAACATACTTTTTCAACACCTTTTATTGGAATATATATGCTGCATTTTTGAAATTCATTAAGTTTTTAATAAAAATAGTAATGTAGGGGGCTGACAAGATAGCTCAGTGGGCTAAAGCATCTGCTTAGGCAAGCTTAAGCTAGTGCAGGGACTGTGGTTTGATCCCCAGCACCACATGCTGCACCAGCCCCGCCCCCAGGGTGGGCTGAGCCGGCCACAGAGTCCAGGCAGTGTGGTGCACACCTGTAATCCCAGCGCTGGGGAGGCTGAAAGCAGGAGGATCACTAGGAGTCTGAGCTGTGTAGTGAAACCCTGTAACAACCAAATACATTTTTAAAAAAAAAGTGGGGCTGGGGAGATGGCTCAGTGGAGTAAGTGCTTCCCTGGCAAGCGCAAGGGTCCAAGTTCTGGTTCTGCCACAAAAAAAAAGTAACGTAAGTGATTTGGGATAATCAGACACATGTGGGCTGATCTGAACTCAACGTTAGTCAATTATACATAGGAAGATGGAACAACACTAGAAAACTACTGCCCTCTTGTGGTCAGTAGTGGACAGACTATACAAGAATTCACCTGTCACAAACAGATACAAACTAAGTGTAACATTTGAGTAGAATAAAAGGCAAGAGTCGGACTGGAGTGCAATAATAACAACTGACTTCAATCCAATTTTGTTCATTGTTTTACTTTATTTTATTTTTCTAATGTATTTTAGTACCCAGTCTACAGGGTCTCACTACGGAGATCAGACTCACAGTGATTCTCCTGTTTTCAGCCTCCCAAATGCTGGGATTACAGATGCAGGCTACCACACCCAGCCTCAATCACAGTCTCAGTGTGTACCGGGGGTGGGCCCAGCAGGGCATGCTGCGGATCCAACCCCAGCCACTGCGCTCTGCCTAAGCAGATGCTTCAGTCAGCTGAGCTATCTGGCCAGCCCTGTTCATTGTTTTAGAGACTTCAAATATTTTCATTAGCTTTCAAAGAGCTGTGAAGAATTTGTACTTCTTAAATATTCCACATTGGGAACTACCTTTAAAAAATCTCATGATTTGAAATATCAAGAGATTCTCATACTGTGTCACCTATGAAGCATCTCCTAAAATATATACCCTGAATCAAATCAAACCTGTGAACCAGGACCAGGGAGATAGCTCAGTGACATAAGGGCCTGCCTGGCAAGTGCAAAGCCCTGAGTTTAATCCCCAGCATCAAAATAAATAAATAAATGAAAATAAAAAAGATTAGGAGGCCTGCGAACCGACTTATAGTTTACATAAAATGTGGGGAGAGTTTTATAAATAACATCACAAAGTAGCAGAGACAAATCTAGAATGAGACTTACAGAACAACTTATTGGGGTGCTTCAAGTAGGAGAAGAAAGTAAGGAGTGGGGTGGGGATGGTTCAATTTTAAGACAGACTTAAGAAATGGTAAATAGGGGCCAGGGAGATGGCTTAGTGAAATAAGTGCTTCCCTGGCAAGTGCAAGGGCCTGAGTTTAATCCCTGGTTCCACCAAAAAAAAAATTTAAAAAAGAAAGAAATGGTAAATACAGTGGCAGGATTTCATAAACATGCAGATTTGAATATATCAAGTCTAAAAAGGCATTTGCAAGAGTACCAAGGAAATGCAGCAATAGAGTGGGTATGAGATGATTTTAAGAAATGACTGTTCACATTATAACATGTTATAATGGGATAGTGATTATGTAAGAAACATCTATTGGGAGATGGTACTGAGGACTGAATTCTAGACCTCCACTGAGAGAAATTATTATTTTTTTTAAATTTTGATTTTGAGACAAGGTCTTGCCTAAATCACTATGTCACCCAAACTGGGCTTGAACCTGTGATCCGTGTGCCTCAGGCTCCCAGAGTACTAGGATTAGAGATGTATCCCACAACACCTGGAAAAGAAATATCCATGTTTCTAAGGGAGGCATACTGAAGTACGTAGGGACAAAGTGACAAAAGATTTTGCATTAACATACTTTTAGGGTAAAAACACAATATGAGACAACTGTGGCAATAACTAAATAAATGGAACAGGGAAAATTGTTACAGTGCTTCTATTTTTGTTTATATTTGGATATCATTTTAATGAAAGTTTCACCTAAAAGGACAAGTCCTTTGTTGTCAGAACAAATTTTAACCTTTTTATGGAATTTTCACTTGTGAACTATCTCACATGTTTCCTTACATGCCCTTCATTTGTCCAGACACCAAAGTCACAGGTGTCAACTGAACAAACAAGAACTCAGTAACAGAACTCACATTTTATGGTGAGACACTGACATGTTATTTATTTATTTATTTATCTATTTTTCTTTGGCAGAACTGGGGATTGAACTCAGGCTCTCGCGCTTGCCAGGGAAGTACTTATTCTACTGAGCCATTTCCCCAGTCCTGAGACTGACATTTTAGAAATGTATATTAAATAACTTTAAAATTCAGTGAAGGCAAAAATCAGGATAAACAAAACTAAAATTTATTATACACTTTTCTCATTCCTCTTCAAATATGATTAATTCAAGATCTAGAAAGGGCTGGTAAGGAAAGTCATATTTAGAGGACAGGGAAGCCTTTACATTCAGAAATAAACCTTCTTGTATTTCCTCCTATTTGTTGGTTCCTCTCTCCCCAAATTATTTGCACATAAATTCTCATTTGAATTCAATGGTTTCTATCCACAGCCACATTGAAAGCAGATTTAAAAAATACATTTTTATTATTATTTTGCATTTTAAAGAAAGGGTCTCACTGTGTTGTCCAAATTGTCCTCAAACTCACTATGTAATTTAGTCTGGCCTTGAACTCATGATCCCCCTACCTCAGCCTTCTGAATGCTGGGGTTATTATTTATTTTTATAAGCAGAATATATCTCTTGGGGAAAGAAAGCTCCTGTCCAACAGAAGGACAGGAGGGGGGTCCCAAGCAGGTGGTCCCCAGGAGGCTGTCTCTTCCAGTGACTTTGGTAGTGTAAAACCATGTGGGTCTAAGGTAAAGAACATGGGAACTCGCTTAGGTGGGCATGAGGTGGGACAAAACTATGGTCAACCAATGAGATAACAAGCATCATTGCTCAGGTAAAATTGATTAAGTCCAGGACCAAATGGGGAAACGAGTCACATAGCAAGCACACATGAATATAGAACAGGAATTTATCCAGTAGCCAGCTGGGAGCAGTTGGATTAGTGACCCTTCCTGGCTTCCTCAAGAAGATGATGATCAATCCTGGATGCTATATTTCTCGAAAGTAACATTGCCTAATGTTTTATAATATATTGTGAGTGTTCTACTTGGTAAAAATTATTAGACATTTTTAAAAGAAAATGTTATTTCAGACAATATTTATGGGTATTTTTCACTTAGAAGGCAAAAATGTTTCCCTATTCTCTTACTACAGATAAGTTTTGAGTTCAAAATCATACAAAGTAAAAAATAACTTGCTGATGTCAGTGTTTCCTTACAAGGTGTAACTAGGAAAATATGTCACACTGTACTTACATTTCTTAGAATCATTGACAATAAAAATATTAATCTGATTTTCGTAAGTCCTCCTCAAAATTTAGAGATAATTATAACTAAAGCTAGAGGGACTTACAGCAAATTCTCAGACTGCATGAATAAAGGGATCTAAAAGCCAGTGGGTTACAATTGCTAGCTTGTTAGCTCAAGTGCTCAGTCTTTGATTATACATGTTCTAATCTCTCAGAATCTTTGTTCTTTCCTAGAAGATACCAAAACCCAGATAATCATACAAGTAAACCTATAGCAAATATGCTACATTCCTTTTACTGGGATCCACCGGATTTTGTCTGTAGAGACACATATTAAGACCTTAACTATCTACCTCATACAAACCAGGTGAGCTGAGCCTTCTCGAGGTTTCCTGCCCTATTACAAGAGAAGTTCCTCTCACATTCCTTGGGCAGGGCTGCCTGCAGGAGGCCTGAAAACTAAACGTTATACCTTGCTCAGTGGGCCCAAGATCTGACACAAGTGCAGAAGTTAGAAGGGTCTGCAGGAATG